TTTTTAAAAGATTTTTATTAAAATATAGCAAATATACAATATTACACATGTTTCTTTGTCTCCCCATTTTGACTGCCTCCCTGTGTTTGTTTCTATGTATTAGGTAGGGCTGCTGTGTCTCGTGGTCTTAGTAGAGTGGTTTTATGTAGTGGGTGCCCAGTGGTGCAGTCTCCCGTCATTAGAGCTGGGTGTTCCAGTTGTGTCTCTTGTATGGGTTGGGTGTGTCCTCCTGTTATAGTTGAACGTTGGTTGCTGTTTGCACATCAATAGGTGGAATTAACCCTCTGGCTCATTGGTTGTGAGGTCTGGTGATGACTACAGTGAAGGAACTGTTGTGCAGGGGCTGATCCTATGGAGCAGGATTCATTTTAGCAGGGCTCTCGTGTCTGCCCAGTATGCCCTTTGGATGTATTGTCCTTGGAGATGGCCAGGTGATGCTTCAGCTTGGGTCAAAGCTAGCCAAGTTCAGCTGCAGCCTGTTCCCTGCCCAGGGCCACCTGACATGAGCCACAAAGCAATATATAGATGGCAGATGCCTGCACTGTGCTTAGAGGTACCTTGAGAGGCCAAGCCTTCAACCAAGGCCAGCTGCCACTAGTGCCAGGCTGCTCTGCCAGAGGTACAGGACACACTGAACCAGATGATGCTTGTTTGGGTTTTGTGAACCTTTGAGAGACTTTAAGAAATTCTGCAGCATGAGCCAAGGCAGGCAGTTTGTATGAAAAAGCCACTGGAAGTGGCTTGAGTGTGCCCAAAAGTTGGGTGGAGTGGAACCTCAGGGAATCAGGGGTGGGATCTCGGGTAATCAGGGAATAATGAACGGTGTTAGCTAGGTTGATAGAGACCCAGATATGGGTAGGGGGAAGACCAACAAAGAAATAATGGCTTTCACCAGCTCCTTCATCTGAGAGAAACCTGCCCCTCTAGCCCTCATCCGGGAGCCAGACAGCTCAGTTTCTCCCCGCATGTCCCTTTTGCTTTTTGAGCTGCTGCCCCAGTGCTGGAGCTCAAGGTAAGTGAGTCCATCAGCGAGTAAATCCATACATGGGTTCTTTAAGAGAAGCACCTGTGAGTGCAGCCACCCCTCAATCCACTCAGCCACAATCGCTGCTAGTTTTCACAGCCAGAAATTAGGGGGACTTCTCTCCCTGGCATTGGAACCCTGGGATGGGGAGCCTGGTGCAGTGCTGGGACCTCTCTCTCCTCCAGGCGGCACCTCTACAGCTGAGATATCCTTCCCAATTTTTAATGGTCACGTGTGGGTGTGGGACCAGCCCCGTTCTGCATCTCTGCTCCTGATACCAATCTTGAGGTGGCTTCTGTATGACCTTAGTTGTAGTGCTTTGATTCAGCTAGACTTCAGGTGTTTCTAAATGGTGTATTTTTTGTAGCTTAGTTTTAATTTTCATGTGGTTATGAGAGAAGGTAAGAACAGTGTTTACCTATTTTGCCATCTTGACTGGAAAAAAAGTCATTGTGGTATTTAGATCTAGCTGTCTAAAATGTAATTATAATAAAATCTTTGTGGATGGTATTTTCAGGGGCTTTATTTTTCTAAATAACACTTTTTAAATTTGTAAAATTAGCATATAATATTTTAGAATCATAGAAAGAGAAAAGTATACAGAAGACGTTAAATTAACCATAATACTACCATATACTGTTTGTTTTATTTTCTTTTAATCTTTGTATATATTTTCAAAATAGTGATAAAAAGAATTATGCTGTTTTGCATCCTACTTTCACATAACATAATCTGTTTTCCATTTTATTATATATTATTTACAAATTTAAGGAACTGTATATTTCTTCAGATGGGTAAAGCATGCTTTATTTTAATCATTCCTATATATTTGGTTGCTAAGACTACCCATTTTTTTCATATTGTCAGAAATACCTTAGTTTGATTATTTACTCAGGATGATTCCTCAACATGGGATTTCTGGATCAAATGTATGTGGATATTTTACATTCCATGACATAAATTACCAAATTACTCTCCCCAACTGATACATATGTAGGCAAAACACACCCTTGTACTTAAGCTTTTTGATTTTCAAGTCAAGTATGGAAAAATTATTTTGGGCCTTACATGCAAAGAGATTTTTGCATTCTCTCTTTTCCTCACTCTCTCCACCTCAAAGACACATGATATGCATTCTATATCTTTCTTCTGGGATATTTATGTTTCTTTAATTTTATAATTATATTTACATCTTTAGACATAAAACTTTGTTTAAATTTTTTCAAATCTTCCTTTTATATTATGAATTTCATATATATTTTCTAAATTCATCACTGGAGGGGAGAAAGAGAGAGAGAGAGAGAGAGAGAGAGAGAGAGAGAGAGAGAGAGAGAGAATTTGCGATTGTGTGTGGAAGGGTGTAGGTGGGTCCTAGACAATACCCAAATAAATACCCAACTAAATTATATTGGATGTTAGAAAGAGTGCTATGGAGAAAAATAAAGCTAAAAAGAAAGATAGAGAATCCATACTTCCAGTTTCCCATCGTTATGTGGTTTAAGATTTAAGATGTCATCAAAGTTATTTTTATGGAAAATTGAGTGAAGCTACTTTAAACGTAAACAGCTAGTATTGTTATTTGAAATAGCTTTTAAATCACAAGCCATTTATTGTTACATTTAATGACTGAAGATCTGTATGATTGCTATTAATCTCCGCTGTGTGACATTACGAAAAAGGCTATGCTCACTGCTTAGCAGACACTATGATATATGCTTACTTAAGCTATTTTATTTAATCCTTACAACACCTGTGTAAATTATGTATCCCTTTGAAGGTGAATAAGGCTTAGAGAGATTAAATTACTTGCCTGAGGGAACATAGCTAGCAAATACCCAAACCAGGATTTGAACCTAAATTTCTATGATCCAAAGATCATATTTGTAATGACTACCCCTTTCAGCTTCAAGCTCTGACTTGAGCAAAGCAGAATGAACAAAATAACAAATCCATTTGGTTTTCATCCAAACTGTTTTCCAGAGCATGCATGGGATTTGGACCCTGCCTACCTCTCCAACTTCATTTTAGACTACATATGCCAGCCCCACTGGCTTCCTTTCTGTTCCTTAAATATCATATATGCTGTTTCCTTTCCTCCCCTTTTTCTCAATGTCCTTGCCTCTTCCTTTCAGGTGCTAGTTCACATGTCATTTGTTCAGAGTTGTCTTCTGACCACTGTGTATGAAGAACGTACCCTTCCCAATTAAGTCTCTCCTGTCACCTGTTATTTCCTGCATAGCATGTAACCAATCTGAAATCAACCTGTTCACATATTTGTTATGTCTGTCTCTATAGACTGTAAACTCTTTGCGGACAGGCACCTTCCACCTCTTTGTCATTATTGTATCTACCAAATTTATATTTCAAGTAGTGCTCTAATAGGTATGTTAAGGAAACAATTGAATTAAAAATGGATGAATGACTTTGAAATTCATATATTTGTTTCTTCTGGGGAACAGTGTCTTTAAATTTTTTTCGATGAAATGTATTTGAAAATATCTTTGATAATTTTGAGTGTTCTAAATCATGTTTAAGGCTTGATCAGGATACTTCACACCATCACAAACTATTATAGCTTCCTGCAGTAACAGATTTCTGCTTTGGTTTTGATATGCCCCATAGTCTTGTTTAAATAACTAACCTGAAAATGAATATTATTTAATAAGAATAAAACTCTCTATCTGTAATAGAATGACAGTGTGTAGAATCATAACAAATGTTTAGCTTGATAAGGATTTAGTATACTCTTGAATCTAACTGAAACATTGTAGAAAGATAAGGTTTCTCAAATGCCTGGGTACGTTCAGGTCTAGAAAAATGGAACAGGACCCTTCCCATTAGTATAGTGACTCTTACTGTATTTCTTCTAATTGTTCCCCCTCCCCATTATAGTGAATATTAGAGCATTATATTATGTATAGCATTTAATTAAAATGAATAAATACGTATTTCAGAAAGAAAAGTTCCAAGTTGATCTCAAATTCATAAGAAATGAAACAATAACTTTCATGGGTGCCTTAACACTGGAGTCATTGTGCAGTATTCCATCTAAGGCAACTGTAATATAGACACAGAGGCCCACAGGCTAGATCTTCAATTAGAAAGAAAAAGATGTATCAGGTTCAGGATAAAAAAAAATCATCAAATTGTGTATACTGTATTTTGCTTCACAGTTAACAATTGAAACTACTACATATGAACCTCATGTTCAGAAATCACAAATTTTACAAAATAAAGCTATTAATAACATGAATATTTTGGAATCATTCCTACATGACAGAGGAGTTCCTCATTCTTCAGAAATGTTTCTTGAAAATATTGTTTGATTTACAATACAAATTTACACATGTTTCTAAAAAACAAGATATGCCTTGCCATCATGTCTTCTTAGGAGCCAAAGATTTATTTTCTAAGAGTCAGGGAAAGCAAAAGCAAACTGCAGTGTCTGTTTCTATAAAGGAGATGAGGAAAATGGACATGTGTTTCATCAATGTAAATGATATGTCCAGTGAATGCAGGCAGTGGACAGACATATAACGCATTCTATGAAATTCAAACATACTGTTTTTGCGAGGAAGTGACTCTTGTAATACCAGTGTAATCGAGACCTGTACTGTCTATCTTATTATTCTTTTAAGGTCAGCAGCAACATTGGCTCACTTACTTTTATATAGTAGAATACAGACCCTAGTGTAGATGACTGTGAAATTTACCTTTTGTTCTGTGAATAAGGATTTTTATGCTGACTCTATAGAACTCCAATTCTCTTCAGTGCTTTGTGTATCAAATGATCACATGATATGAGGAAAATGTAATTCATCCCCAAATAACTGCATATAAGTCATAGAAACATACACTGCTAGGGACCAAGGGATTATCTTGTCAAAAACCTTCCTTGTAGAGGTAAAGCTAGTCTTAGAGTTCTGGTGACTATTGTAATGAGGATTTATTTGTCTTTGTGTGTCTATATGTGCAGGAGTACATGGATTCCAATAAATACATTGAGCATCTGCTAACTCAACTCGAGGAGCAACACAGAAGCCTCTGGAGGTGAGTGAAATTCATGTCCTCAACTTATGGCAGCCTCTATAGCTTTGATCTTGATCAGGGAGGCAGGGAATTGGAAAATGGTCTCTTGTTCCACTGAATGCCAAGAGCATCACTGGGGGCAAGAATCACAAGAGGCTACTTAGGGAATTCTGCTCCTTTAATTAAAATAAAGCAACAGTGCCAAAAGTTGTCCTTGAGTCAAGGACCTCCTCAGAGCTGAAAGGATGGTAGAAATCATGACACTTGTCAAGATCAGTGAATTAATTTGTCCAGGGCCATATGGCAACCTTATATTGAGGAACCCAAATTCCCTGACCCTTGCCTGATTAAAGATAATTTAAGCTTTTCTGTAATTAAAAGGTAAGACACTCCTGCTTAAAATTTCTACTCTTCATATTAAAGAGGAATATTTTAAGAATGCTATTGCATAGGTCTCCAGTGGTTAGTTTTTGTTCTGCATGGTGGGTTCTGATTCTCAGTAAGGAAAGCTATGTGAAAATGCTTGTGCAGGTAAATTGGAAAAAGAAGTTAGTATCACAGAAGTCATATTTTCAAGTTATTCATTCCCTGGGGGCCTCTTGGGAATTGAGAGTAGCAAAGATGGTTGTGATGTTATTATCTAGATCTTTAGGGTCCCCGGTCATGTTCTTTGTAGGTGCTGCTATGGAATCTGAATTCCTTTTGCTAAATTCCTACAACTCTTGTTATCTGGACTAAATATGCTTGTGCTTAATTACATGATGCCTTGCATTGCACTGGAATTGTTTCATATAATTAGCTTTGTCTCCCTGTGGTCACTAAGCCCCTAACGTCCTTTATTCCTTATCTCCTCACTGCATGGAGCAGAGTGCTTTCTCTGACCACAGAGATGGCAGGTAAATAATTGCTAACATTGTGGCTTTCTTGTCTAACCTCATCCAAGTCCATCACCATTGGCTTCTGGACCAGGCTATACTGCCCCTTCTTCATGAACCCTTGTAACAATTCCTAATAACCTTGAAATTTGTCTTCCTGAGGAATTCTAGTTCTTGGGTAAAGTGCCTAGTATTTTCATTTGTCCTCCTCTTATATTCGTTTTCCTGCTAGAGAACAGATCTATGGTTATAGTAATAGGCGATGTTCTATTTTAATAAATAGAAAAATTGCTGTTGAGATACAACAGAAGTGTATAATTTTTAAGCCTGCTTGTCACTAACCTGAGGAATTCTAGTTCTTGGGTAAAGTGCCTAGTATTTTCATTTGTCCTCCTCTTATATTAGTTTTCCTGCTAGAGAACAGATCTATGGTTATAGTAATAGGCAATGTTCTATTTTAATAAATAGAAAAATTGCTGTTGAGATACAACAGAAGTGTATAATTTTTAAGCCTGCTTGTCACTAACAGACATAACAATTGATTTTATATAACTTGATGCAATATTTGTTAGATTTGTTTTTGAGTGCTATAACCTGGTGTTGATACAGTTTTCTATTGTGAACCAATATATTGTATTAATAAAACCAACAACAATGTATTTATGGTTATGTGCCTTTTAAATCATATTTTCCATAGATCTACTACAAAGTATATTTAAAAGGTTGTTTTACTGAATGGTAACATTTTCTTTCAACTACTTGAATAACCTGTTATCTTCTAAGAGAAAAATACACCAACATCATGAATACCACCTGATGAAAGAAATTTAGAGTTTAATTTGGTCAGTAAGTGTGTCTTATACACATCATGGGGAAGGAGTATTGGTTTCACAGGTTGAACCAAATACCTGCATAGAAAGCATATTTTTCTGCTTTCTCAAGATAGCTAATACAAATCTTTTGGTCTTCTCCAATATGTTTAAATTAAAATCCAATTTCAGGCACAGAATTAACCTAACATAAAGTTAGAGCTTAGAATTTTGTGTGCAATCACTTCCATTATCCTTTAGAAATGGAATTATTGCTGGTGAAGAAACATAGCCTTATATATAGTGTCAGAGGATCTAATAAAATATTATTTGAATAACAAGAAAGGGCAATAATAACATTTGCATAGTCAGAATAAATACCAGTGAGAAAATGGAAATGAGTAGTATTGAGAAAAAATGAAAACTAATAATAGCAGATTTATATACTATTTATTGAATCATGAAATTGATTATATTTTGCAAACAGATCTTGAGTGACTTAAAGTGATAGGCTTTATGATGATTATTACAACGTCATAACAGCAACTGTGTGGCTGAATTGTTTTTGAAGCATATGTGAGTGACAGTGAGCAGAGTGGGAAATTCTTTCTGCTTATGATTAAATGTTTTAAATGCTTTCTTGAGTATGAGTAGAATCTATGAAGTGCAGGGGATCATGGGGACAGCATGTCATGTACACAAGTGCAACTGGATTGTCTGAAGTTAAACAAATGTTCCCATAACTGAGTATAAAACTTTTTATCTGACTTTATTATGCTTTTGATTTGTAGCTGGTGCAATTTTCATGGAGTGGGCTGCTTGTCATTGCTCCTGTTACTATCTCATGGCCTTCCATTTATACTTGAGCTAATGTGTAACTTAAAAGAAAAGACAAATTCTGAATATTTAATTCTTCTACCAGTAATGGTGGTCACCATTAATTTATGGCCACAACGTTTGAGGATCAATCAAAAGCATGGTAAACACATGTCATACTTTTATTGAAACTTGCTGAATGATAAAAGAATTGGACAAATTGTAGAAGATTGGGTACAATGATTAAAAGTCTTTCCTTATTTTCATTGAGAGGGGTGCTACTCGTCTTTAATAGGTTTTAGTCATTTCTTATAGCATAACCATCTGCTGTGACACAAATATATTGTGGTAATCATACTCTTAAGATAACTGGTTATTTTGGGGCCCTGTTTAGTATTCTACTGAAATAGACCTATAATCTATATCTGGGTTTTCAAATTGCTAAGGAGTTTGTGAAGTCTAACTATAGCTGTCTAGCAATGAACAGTCATTTAGCTCAACTGTCTTTTTTGACACCAACAGAAAACTTCTGTGAATTCATCTGAATAAGAGGGTGGAATCAGAATCTAGAACTTAGCCTGAGACTTGAGTACAAGTCTGAGTGTGTTTAATTTGCTCTGCATCTTTCTGCTTGATGATGAAAAATAAACATACCCATGGCAAATTGTGTACTGGTTGATATTAAAATGTGATAATCAATTTCTGCATGTTTGTTTCAATGTGGAAAGTTAAAATTGCAAGGAAAAGGCTCATTTGCACTTAATGATTTTTATAACATCTGTTACTATTTCTGATTTAGCTAACTATATCTGTGATTGACAAGATTGTCAGAAAACAACTGCTGAGAATATCTTTATTCTACCTTTGATAGAAATCCTTATCTATTTGCAACCTCAAATTAAGAGGTTAGAACAAACACAAACAGTGTGAAAATAAAGTAAAATTCATGAATATTTATGGTATTTGTGACTCTTTCATATCACGTATGTGAAATAATGTTTAAACAAAGGCAAACAGCATAAGACTATAGAAGGAGAAAGAGGACCGGACTGGAGGTTTTGGAGGCTTGGACTCTTTGCCTGGCCTGCCAAACAGGCTGTTGGGTGACATCTGAGACTGAGTTTCTTTATCTGTAAAAAGAAGGTATCAATATAGCTAGTATTTAAGATTACTGAGCACTGAGATTATGTGAAACATAATGTCTAAAGTCGTATTACATTTATATAACATGTTAGACATGTATAGTTTCATTTTTTTCTATGACAAATACTACATAATGATCAACTTGTATGATACATATATCATAGAAATCTTCAAGAACATAAGCAGAAATGACTAATGTAACAGAAATACTTAACAATTTGCCGGTAACTCAAACAGATATTGTCAAAATGTTTATTTCAAGTTTTCATAGCTCAAATTGAAGAGAGTGTTATCAATAGCCTATCAATAAATAAAGCAGGTGTGCACGGCTAAAATTCAATGAGAAGATCTGGTGAATGCAGAGTGCTGCCTACCAGCCAACAGGTGCCAGATCACCAAAGTCCCATTTGACCAGCTTTAACTAGGTTAGGGTTTCTCAATCGAAGCACTGTTGACATTTGGGGCCCGGTCATTCCTTATCATGGGTGGGAGATGTCTGGCATAATCTCTAGCCTCAACCCCACTATATGCCAGTACCATCCCCCCATTGTGACAACCAAAAAAATGCCTAGAGACATTTTCCATATGTTCCCTGGGAGTCAGAATCACCTTTCTCTCTAATGAGAACCAATGATCTAAATCATTGGCACAAACATTTTTCTAAGCACATGCCAAGAAATACTAATACTTTGGGTCACTGTTATTGGTGTTTTAAGAAAAATAAAGGTACAGTGTAGTCAAATTTGAAATATACTATGTAAAACCAAGTTTGAAAATGATTTTAATTGCAGAACTTTTCAGAGCCGGATATATAGCTAACATTTGTTATACACATCAAATATAGGATATGATATAATTTTGACTTCTTAAAAAAATTGTCATATTTTTCTTGAAGTATCCACTATGACTAAGGATCCAAGAAACATATTTTGTCAAATGGTGATCTATCCAGTTTGATAGCCAAATATACAAAAATATGGCTTGTACCCCCTTCCTCTATCCCTTCTCCCCCACCCCCTTCACTGATACTTGGAGAAAGGGACAGGTGACTTAGTAAAAGGACAGCTAGTACTGTGAGGAGCCTTGGTTGTTGGTAAAAGGGGAAGGTAGGTGTGTGGAAAAGACAATCCCAAATTCTTTACCATTTTCTTCAGGGGTAGCCCAAGCCTCAATACCAAATTCCAAGAATCTGAAGAACAATTGATTACAAGCTATGCTTGCCTGAGTAGTGCGCTTAACTCCTGCTTCCCCAGGAGAAGAAATGGTTTCTACATCACTAAGGGGAAGAAAACCCTTAATTGAAAGGTTTATAGGGCCGGCCGAGTTGCATGTTGGTTAAGAGCTGGCTTGGGACACCAGAGGGCCCCCGTTCGGATCCCACATATGAGGGCCAGTGACACTGCCCTCCACAGCTAATATGCTGAACAACAGCTCAACCTGGAGCTGGGCTGCCGTGAGTCACC